TGAGTGAGCTACGAGGCCACACTGATAGCACTGATCTTTTCACAGTCGAATTCCACCGAGACTACCGAACGTTTCACAGTCTGAACATAAAGCTTCAATTCTGGATAATTTATCAACATTCGTGCATTGCTTTCCAAGTAAAGTGTGCGTAATTCACCATTGCCAAGAAAAATAAAGCCTATACGCAATAGAGTACCACTAGAGGAACGGTCAGCGCGTTTGAGATGAATGTGGGTGTCTCAAAAATTACAAATGAACATTTGTGTACCAACTAAGGAGCCGTCCTCACGTTAACATATTTTTTTCAGTTATTAGTGTTGGTTTATCCGTAATTAGTAATAACTCAACAAATCGTTTAGTGATGTAGTTTTATCTTCTTCACCACGCGTTCGCAAATCACCGTGATGCCTAAAAGCACTCTTACAGTCATGCAACGGTGTCATCGAAACCTCAGTATTTCACGCGATCACATGTATTTCAAAAGAAAAGACCATATCGCAATGGGGCACATTTTGTGTCTAGAGGGAATTCGCCGCATCTGTGCTGATATGCAGCCAAATCTCGCCGGAAATAATCGTGTGATATGGTCTTTTCTTTTTGGAAATTGATCTCAGGAAAGGCTTGCGTCAGTTTAATCACATGTATTGTAAGAATATACCCGAGACCCCATGGTTTAATTCGAATGCAAGTGCAGTTTAGCCATTACTTTTTCAAGCTTTAGCCCCAGCCGTAAATAAACGAACATGGTAAGTGACATTTTTAACACTTACGTCCAGGTGCTGAAGCAGTGATAGGACAAGATAAAGACCAATGTTCCCAATGTATTGCGGTACGTATGTAAGGACGGGATGCAAAGAATGGCCATTTCAGTGGAAGCAATGTGTTGTCAGTACAGGAAACATCAGAATGGATAATGTTGCCAGACCTTTTGCCTCACATCCCTTTTTGTTCGGTGGATGATAAAGTTTGAAATTAATTGAGAAAATGAACTATTCAAAGCATAAATCGAGGAAAATAAGTACCAGTTTGCTGATATCCATACTCAGAAGTGAGATAGGAAAAATTACAAACAAAAACGTTTTTTGAAGCACCAATGATACTTTTATTGGGATACCATCAACGTATTCATAAGAAATGGACCATCTTGAAAATGACCACAATACACGTTCTCGATGACATGTTATTCTTGTACCTCTTCTTCAAATTGCTTGACTTGATGAAATTTACTTTAATGGATTCAGTAGTCTCTATTGCAAAAACACTTTCTCAAGAACTTATGGATACACATAACTTACGTCCAGCCGCTATTCACAACATGGATCAGAAAATAAAAACTCATCGAGTTAAGCGATTTGACCAGCTGTATAAGCATGGACTGTATAACTCAATTCGATTTCAATATAATCCATATTGAGTCGTGTAGGTGTTAGGACGGAGCTCGCAGAACCCGTTAGGCCACGTATCGACCCGCGTCACATCACAAGTGTGTTCGTGGCGCCCAAACTTAATGGATTCTGGATTGGATGACTGAGGCGAATCAGAAAGTTGTTGTCCGATCGATCAACTGGAGTATCAATGACGCGATCTGATTGGGGCGTCACCATATCGTTTCTCGTACATTTAATTTGGCACATATAATTGCGTATTGTGTAATGATCCATATTATACTCCAACATTTATTTGCTCAGCCGTTCTCTCTCCGGGTATCATTGTTGTGGGCTAGTCCAGAGGCGTTTGTTACGACCATAAGTCTCGGCAAGCGATAACAGTATACAAATAAAACGACTAGAAATATCCTAGTAAAACGCAATAATGTATGAAACCAGTCATGTCTGCTGGGAGTTACGAGTTTAAACCAAGTTATCACAAATGAATAACTTTAAAAACGACGCGCGGCCTTCGATTAGCTGCGCTAAACTTACACACTTTCCGTTACATTGTGGGAATTTTCACATTTTCATTCACTATCATGCGCCGACGTTACACATGTCATGATGATATTATTTGTTTCAAACATGCCAGGACATGCCTCGATGGTTCAGCGGTTTGTGCGACTCCAGTTTCTCAATGTCTAGGTTGGATAAAACGACACAAGCGTGCAGGGTGGTAAGGTGCCCTTAATTGCACCCCTCTGCTAAAGATGACTGCCCCGTCACTGTTCAGCACTAGCACTCGGTTCGGTTTCCCAAAATGTCGGATTTAACTAGTGTCCTGCGACCACAAATTCATACAAAAACGTGTGCAGTCTGTTTTCAAGAATCTTGGTTGAATAAGGATGTAGATGACTCTCTAGTGTCAATAGACGGTTTTCAAGTTTAACGGTAGGATTATGGAACCGGAGGGAAAAGTACCAGAAGGGTGTTGCCACATATGTCAACGTTTCCTGGTGTGGCAAGTTCCATGTTGTTAATCAGTACGGCTCAAAAGCTCAAAAGAATTCTGAGAACTGGAAACAGCAAGCACCTGTGGAAAGTTATAAGACTCTTCTGTGGAAGGAAGAACGCACGGTCGAAAGTAGGTGTGGATGCTGATGATCTCGCTTGTTATTCGACCAGAGTGCATGAAATAGTATATACGCACAGTTGAACTGTATACTCTCTGTTGACCACAGAAATTTGCTGTATTTTCCAGGCATTAATAATGGGTTCAATAACTGTACATCTCACAGATTCTCACCGACGTTGTGTACAAAATGACCTTGCCGGCTATCAAAGAAATCGGCTTTAGTGTAGTGAGCTGCCTATTTACGATGCCGATCATGATGATGATGACGTGGATCCTGAGGATGATAATGATGAGGATCATCATCGTGATGATGCTCATGATGAAATTGTTGGTCTGGAAGTTAATGATCATGATCATGATCATGATGATGATGCCGACGATGATGATAATGATGAAGATGATGAAGATGACAAAGATAACCTGGGTGTTATTGATGACGACAGTGCTGCTGCTGATGATGATGATGATGTTGATGACGATGATGACGATGACGATAATGATGGTGATGATGACGATGACGATGATGATGGTGATGATGAAGATGATGATGATGATGATGATGATGATGATGATGATGATGATGATGATGATGATGA